CGAAGAAATCTCTTGGCGTCGTTAGCCACCTTCGAATCAATTTCCTGGCGAGCGAAAAAAGTGTGGCGGTCTTCAAACTGGGATTTGTCGTCAATCATCACAAACGTAATTTTGCGGAGTAGTGTGGTTGTTGAAGTGTGGTGTAGCTGGAATTAGATCACATTCTTTTGGTTCAGATTTTTATTCAAATATGTGTATTGAGTATCGTGCAACTCATGTTGAACTAGGAATATGGCCAAGGAATAAGGTACCCTACCTACATCCCTTGATCTGTATCGTGTAAAATTTGGACTAGTCTGAGATGTGGCCATTAGAGTGTTCGCCACGTATTCAATCACCACATGTCCTCTCGTCAAATGTCCCGTCACACGTTCTATCACCATATGTTCCCAGCGTTAAATCGTCATCTCCATCAATCTGCTTTAGTTTAGTTACTGTCTTCACTTCACTTTCTCCTTCCCCTGATATTTACACCAGGAATATATGTAGAACGTCCAGTCAGCCATTACGATTAAAGCCCCTTCATATGTTACGAAAGCAAACCTGTCCTAAGCAACTGAGGGCAAGCCCCTGTGTGGCGTTGGACACAAGTTGGGTCTGCTCCGGAAGTTGTTTGCGTTTAAGTTACAATTGCATTAGAACAAGTTAGGCACGAGTTAAATTTCCATAAATCTTCATTATGCATACGGCTACATTTCATCCAAGTTTCATTCTGACACGGATATCGTTGAAAGCGTGGATTTATAGCGGCCCGGCATTTTTCTCGATCCGACATACGAGCGAACGTTTAAACAACCTATTAGTTGGGGTTAAATTGTGGCAACGATTAGTCGTTTTCATCTGTTGTGCTCTTTTCGGGATGATCAACGATTCCGAAGCGTGCGACCACTCTCGAGAGGCGATCAGTCATTCCTAACTCGCGCGTTCAAACGAGCGCTCATCTTTTTCCAATTTTATTTGCCGTCCGTCGACCATATTCCTGGATAACGGGCTACGATATTAGTCCGAGTTTAAAGGCGACGCGTCAGATTGTTTGTCGCTGCAACGACCGAGATTCAAGACGTTTCTATAAATCCACGATATTCTTAGGCAGACATAGGACCGAGACACGCGTCATGAATTATTCCACCGTTCTGATTCGTCGAATTATTCATAAGGAAACAAATATTGCACGGGCGTAGTATGCGCACTTCGAAGGCAAGACTTCGACGAAAGAAACTATAAATCTGGCTGATCTTGTTTCGTTTTAATCCATACACGGACACAGCTTCCGTTCTGTTCTAAGCATCGAGACTCGGAAAAATTCATCTGATTACCATTAATCTCTCCTTCTTTTTCTCAACATGAATTCCAGAAACGATTCGCCCGAGAGATTTATTCTTGCAAGGATTATTTTAAAGTAGGTTCTGCATAATGCAGTTTGTTATTTAAGTATTCCTACAACTTCGCGGGTCGATTGCTATATGAAATCATCCTTGTACTCTTTATTTCAAGCACACGCACTTTTCTGGAAACACTAAGAAATGGGAATCGAATTTACATTCCACGAAGTCCGACCATTTCTCTCCGGCCCTTAATCGTTCACCGGAAAAGCTACTCCCAATCGTCCTGAAAGTCTACCTATTTTAAAACAGTTCACATTCTACTCTTGATGAGATCTTCAGTATTTGAGAGCTAAATTAAATGTACACTTCTTTTGAATGATTCAATCTGGCGATAAAGTTATGATCTTAAAATTGAAATGAGTTGATTTTGAATTTTGGTTGAAGTTGACTCCTCGATCCAGAAAGCAGTATCCATTACAGATACCAATCGTACATCATCCAGACGGGTGTCCCGTTCGTCAAGCTGACTGGACGACGGTTTCACGATGTCGCGTAAGCACTCGTTGCCGGTAATCCACCCCCGTCAACCGTGGGGTTGTCTTGCAATTACGGCTTTCCAAACTGCTGCGCCCAGAAACTGCGTTACGCTCTCCGTAACTAATGCTTGGTAATCGTTCGGTTCAGTTCTCGCCGTTTCCTGTTTCTCTGTTTCCAGACTCTGTTTCCCCTCTGGTCGCTGCACCCACCCTCGACCCGGTTTCATTGTCAACGAACCAGCCGTTCTACGAATTGTCCGGCTATTTGCTGGCCACTGACGCGAACGAACGAATGTTCCCCTCATTATCGGATCGTTTGTCGTGACCCGTGCTTCGTGACGGATTTCTCGTTGTTTAATGCTGCGCTCGATAGGGTAGGTATACCGTTTTTACGTCTCATTGATTGACGGTGAAACGAGCGTTCATGATATTTCCGGAATGCTTCAGACGATGTAGAAGTTTACGAATTTATTTCTGCCGAGATGCGTTTTAATTAAACGTCATTTTAATATTATTCGCGAGTAGCTATTTCGGCAAGTTGATAGTAACATATATTTTAATACCGGCCTTTGCTGAAGCGTATCATGTAGCTTTCAGCTTGAATAAACCTTTTATAACAAAGGCACTATTACTTTATGACTGGCCCTCATAACTCGTGGCATGCAGGATATGTTTCTGAGGAAGCTTTTTTCGGTCCGGGTTTATCTACTGGGGTGGAAAGAGTTTAATTCCCCGCTGAATTTACAGGAAGCTGTTTACTTTTACGTTCATCCGAAATATGAATGTCACTTTCTTTAATAATGTCGTACCAATTGTTTCTATATTTTTGCCAGTAACTCGGTTTATTTTTCAAGTATAGAAATGACTATCTCGCATAAAAGGCTAGACGAGATTTTTTTCGGTAACATCGTTTGTACATTTATAAATTATTTGAGCGAACCATTTTCCCTTGAAAATCCACCGTGCAAGGCCACCATTCTAGCCTCGAGGACATGCATTTCTGCGTGTGCAAACATCGAACACGAAGGAACTGGCAGCGAATCGAATGTGAAACGACGTTTAGCAATGCAAATTGGCTCGACGTTGCCCATAGACACATTTTCGCGTTACAGAGCCGAGAATGTGTGCAACTTACGTGCACTTCGAGCCACAGACACACGCACTATTTTCCATCATCGATTCTGTTCACCCTTTGACGTTATCACCGGATGCAAATGTAATTCCAGCTGATATGAAAGGCACGATGCAGCACGAAACAGTTTAATACACACTCTTCGTTAGAACCTTCCAAACTACAGAGTTTTAACACTAGAGCCATCAAAGGAGAACAATTATTTAATTTAGACCAGTTTTGCAAGTAATCTTAACAAGTTGAGAAATTCTGAAGTAACTTTTTGAATGTCTGAACGGAAACTGTAGCAAACGTGCTCGCTGGCGGACTGAAACTTAGCTCGTGAAGACCACGTGGCCCTTGCCATTAACGTCGAGCAAATTTATCAAATCCACGCCATTACGTTGGCAAATCGAGAGTTCGTCCGATGCTGAATTGGTATGCTGCTGATTTTCTACTTCGATCAATCCCTATACAATCATGGAGCAAACATATGGAAGCGTTTGATAGCGAAATAATTTTATTGTGTAATTTAAATACTCAACGTTGTTGCGTTGTCGAGTTCTGGTTCAGATCGTATCGTCATGACATGATTTGTACTCTCTTGTAACCGATGGTATTACAGACTCTGTATTACACAGATCGTTATGGATTATGTTGTAATCCAACTAATTAATTGCACCTTGTAAGATTATTGTAATCCGGAACTCCATTCTAAATATCAAGTTTCGCTCTAAGTTTCGAAGAAAAGATTCTCATCAAGAACAAAGACCAAAAGATTCCATAACAGAATATAAAGTTTGGGAGTTATTTATGATCTGTTTGCAACTTGTGAACTGAATTCAAAAGCTCCAACCACAATTCCGAAAGTAGTTCAATATTAAATTACAAATGCAACTTCATTAATTCCAACAGAGGTTGAAGTTCTAAAATAATTTCAGGGATGTTCTGGATTAAAAGTGAACTGTTTCGGGACAAAGGATTTAGTGCTTTGTATTTCTTTACCGAACCTGGACAAATGTCTGGTATTTACACCACAAGCGTGTATATCTTGCGGACAAATACGAAAAAAGGTCGATGGTTACACACTTTATAAAGGATTCGATTCACTTGTAAGCCCCATTGTTTCAACGCCGAAACATTTTACGAGACAATATTCTCGCGCCAACAACGATATTTCAATCGAGTATCGAAACACGATTGATTCGTACTAAAAAAACGCGATCGTATAACGGTAGAAAAAGCGATACAAGAACGAGTATTAGTTGCATGGTATTATTACGAGCAAACAATATTCATCGATCGCGCTTCGCCGCCATAACGCTGGAATTGAACGGTGGCGTGCAAAAAGACTGCTATCGCCCGTGCAAATATTTTCTATGGTGTTTTATGAAATCGCGTAGAAAAATATATCGGTGTCCAACCGGAAAACCTACAACCTAAAAATTTGTTAGTTCTCGATTGCTCGTTGCAATATAACTACATCCTGTCTACATTCTGTTTTTTGTAACCCTGTGTTTTTAACTTCATCGATGCTCTCTTCACGTTGTCTCGCTTTATACTGCAATTTTCACGTACCACTTTTACACTCTCTTCATATTTACACACTTCATCATGCTTTATATTTGCACACTTCACGTTGATAGTTTCGCTGTAGTTTGAGGGTTCTCATAACTCTTGTCATGTATGATTTAATTCACACATGTTCCTCTCGAAACCTTTGGTCAGAGGAACAGTCAGAGGAACGAGTAATGTGGTCAAAGATCATGGACACCGCAGAAAATGAAATTTTCCGCAAGGAAATCGCATTACGACTTGAGTCAATTCGATTCGCGAACGCAAGAACGTGGCGCTTTCCTCCCTCGGACTTCACCGCCATCAACGCGATGACTTATAGACTTTGTTTTACTTAATAATAAAGTTCCTCGGATAAAGTTGCAAGATAAATGGCACGCCAGTCGCTTACTGAAAAATGATAACCGAAGACTAGCCGCGACACTTTACTCGAAACACTCTTCTCCGGAAAAATATTATGAAAATCATTTATTTTAAGCTTACTGTAAACGGAGAAAATGGTTCTTTAAGAAGGTACAATTGCATTCTGTCTGTCAAGATGATAGGGACATACAAAGGTGCGATTAAACGAAGTAAATGTGGTTAGGTATTTATGAGTACAGTCTTAAATGAAAAGTACAAATTCTCATACAGCTTCAGTAAAAATAATATATCAAAATTGGCGTTTTGATCTTAATTGCTACAATTATCAAAAATTATATTTACATGTAACATCTTACTCGTTACTGTCCATTTAATCTTGCAGTAATAAAAGAGTCAACATCATCCAATGTGTCCCATCACAGGATCATCCTATGACGTCTCATATCATCCGATACGTCGATGAGACGTCATCGATGGAATCAGTGTCTTATATGGCCAACCGCAATATGGCTTACTTCCTGTTCACCGGTTTCTTCTTGATCGTGCCAGTGTTCGTATTGGTAGACGAGTCGGTACTGGAAGACTTGTCAGCCTCTTTCTTCAGCAGCGGAATGCTCGACTTCCCGTCGACACTCGCATTCACCACTTTGCTGGTCACCGCCTCCACCCTCTGCACGATTTCCGTCTTCTCCGGGTACCCCTCGATTCCGCTCGAGGGCTCATCTTTGCGTCGTGAGAACGACGGGATCCTCGTAACCTTCGGCTTCTCTTTCAACGCCGGCTTTTCGACGCTTTGACAGCTCTGAGCCTCTGGCGGAGGAATGGCCGACACTTTGGGGATGTTCCTGTGATCCCTGGTCCTTTGCAAGCTGGACGTCGGTTTGATGATGATCTTGGGCTGCTTCAAGTTCGACGGTCCTTTGGTGTCCCTCGGCGTGATTATTATCCGCGGTTCTTTCCTCTCGGGACTCACGACTGCCCTCGCGTCTGAGGTCGACTCGGGCAACTGCTCCACCGAATTCGTATTGGATTTGCTTCTGCTTGTGTCTAGCAGGACGGTCATTTTAGGTTCCTGATCAACCCGGTCGGCGGAGGCGCTCGCTAGATTCACCACTGTCTGGCTCAAGTTCTGGTTCGCTTGACCTAAGAGGTTGCCCACTCTGGGCGTGATCACGATCCTGGGTTCCATGGCGGGGACTCTGGTGTCCCAATTAGAGCCACCGAACTGCTTGTCCACTTCCCTGCCAATGATCCGTGGCTCGGACGACGCCGTCGATATGGACGTCTCGTTCCCGGACGACTTGTACCAGTTAGGATTACCGATGCCGGACTCCAGCAGCCCGGCAGGCTTGCCCAAATTCTTGTCCATGCTCTGGGAAATGGGCATTCCGTGGACGGGACACATGGGGTTCGAGTAGATCGTGTCCACGCTGCCACCTGCTTGCGTTCTTGCTCTATCGATTCTGTCGTCCAGAGAGTCGATAATGCTGGGATCGGAGTTGTTCTTCCCGGAATAATCCTGCTTCTTGACCAAAGGACCGACGTGGAGGTTGGTGGTAATCGACTCTGTCTCGTACTGATTCTCGCCCTCCTCCGCGAAGTCCAGGCTCTTGGAGGGACCGAACATCCTTGGAGGCGGTTGAGGTGGCTGATGGGATTGCAATCCGCCTCTGTAGTCCTTCAGAGAATTGGCGTGCTGTTTGGGAACGAACAGGCTGCTGGGTGCCGGCAGCGATCGCCTTTTCTCGATGTCCGGAAGGACCTTCGGATAGTTTCTGCGTTTGATCGTCCTCAGGGCTTCTTCGGGACTGACGCACTCCCTTTGAGCGACAGGCTCTCTGCAGGTTACGTTTATGTCGCATGGAGGATTCACGGCGAACGTGGTGAGTTTTGGTCCCATGTTTATGTAGATGTCCTCGGTTTGATTCGCGACGGGTTCTTCAGGGCTGGTCCCGAGGTCCACTCGAGGCAGCCGGGACTTCAATTTAGGATTAATCTTCGCGTACAGGCTGCTGGCGCTCCCGGAGTCAGACTCGTATATTCTAGGCGTGGAGAAGTTTGTTTTGACGCTCTTCAGCACGCTCTCCATGGGCAACGGGTCACTTCTGGAGTGATGGTGCTCTATGACGACCACCTGAGGAGCGATTTGCAACTGATCCAAAGGATAGTCGCTGTTGTTGAACGTCTCTGCGGGATCCACACCTTTCGCCAACTCGATGGGAACTTGATTCAGAATCGACTCGGTCCTGGTCGCGGGTGTGGCGTCGATGGCCACCGACACCTTCGGTAGCTTTGACTTCTTGCCAGGTCGCACCACGAGTGCGGGGTTCTCGTCGTAAATTGGCTCCTCCTTTCTCTCCTTCAGCAACTCCTCTTCTAACCTCTTCTTCTCCTCCTCCTGTTGTTTCGTGAGCTTGTCCTCGTGCTCCTTCTGCAGCGTCTCTCGAGTCTTCCGCAAAAATCTCGGCGAACACCTTCAACAGTTAACATATTTATGAAGAAAATTAAACAAAAAAGATTCATTCCGATTCGACAGACTCAGCAATTCATTTAAATCCACGTTTCGACTTCGCAACTTTCCAGATCGATCCTCTTTGATCAAGGAAACTCTCGACTAAGTAAATTCTGTCGAACCGAAATCGAATGGCGAAAACAGCTGGAACGTCGATTCCGACGAGTCAGCTCGACGAGTCTTTAGATGCAACCGCTAATTAGATTATTGAAACTGCTTCCACGGTTCGTTCGATCGACCAATCAGCCAGCGAATTCGTGCAAGGAAACGCGAAGATCTCTACCGACCTGTGAACGATCTCCTGCTGTATCCATTCCCTAACCTTGATGTGAGTGTCTATCGTGGAGCCGGAATTCTGTCTGGACAGTTTCGAACGTCTGCCAAAGTTCGAGTTGTTGTCGTACGCTTTATCGTTCTTTATCACGTCGTTCAAGTCCGGCTTGCTGTCACTCTTGTACCCCAGCTCGCCGTAGTGATTCTCGTATTTGTCCGATTTCGCTCGTTTCGGGTCCTCCTTTTGACTGACCCGTCTCTTCAAGCCTTTCGTCTTCGCGTCCTGCTTCTTGCAGTATAGGAAGAGGAACGCGGTGAAGTTGATCAACAGAAACACTACACCGAAACCGGTCAACATCGTGATCACGGACGAACTCTTTGGCATACTGGGCTGCGGAATGCTTTCATCCACTGTTCCGGACGTTGATTCTGGGGTTGTTGATCGCTCCTCTGAGGCTGTGGGCATCGTTGAGTGATCGCTGCCGTAGCTGAAAACAGAATGGGTAAATTCCAGGGTTGCTGTTGCAATTTTAATTATGATCTTTGGAGAAATCACTGCAAAGTGTAGACTAGTATGTTCAGTGTTGTAGTACTTGTTCGGACTGATTACAGAGATTGAACTGTAATGTGTGAAAATATAACATGATTTTAAACATGGCTACACTAGTCTATTTAACTGTTTCCTGTTTAATAAAGTCCTTTTATTTAAATAAAGGTAATTTTATTTCTTGTAATTTATGAAGGGTTTAAGTGTGAAAGTATAATTCGAATATGTAGCTAAAGCGGTTGAAAGAAATGAAGGCGTCCCTACAGCGTATTTAATTAGCCAGCGGTAGGGTGTTCACGACGGCTCATTATTTTATTTTACTTTTTTCCAAACGTGCACGAGCCTGATTGGTAGACTCCAGATAACGCGAATCTTTCATTTTATCGTGCTGGAGTTGAATAAATTCCATTCAGTCGGCACGATACGGACAGCTTAAACGCAGATAGAAAGGGGTTGAATGCAATGGGGTGCAAGTGACGTTTCATTAAATATTCAGTGCACAGTGAAAAACAATGCTGGCATGTGCCGACATAAAGGTGCGCGGAAATGAGTATTTTTAATTTTTCAATTAACGCTACCATCGCTGAGCGTCCCGTGAATAAAAATTGAAATTGAATAAAGCGGTGCGTCGTGCAAGGTGCATTTTATATAAGTGAAACGCGTTTAAGCTCCTGTCAGCTCAATTGATTTGAAATTAAATCAATTTGCTCAGGGATCGTTCGTTAGACGAATCTCGTTTAATTAAAATATTAAAATTAAAATATTCTTAGTTTATCATTGTTCTTGCCGTTCGTGGAACTTTCGTCAGTAATCCAGTATCTATTCTCGAAACACGTTACCAACCTGATACCAGGAGTTTCGTAGTTCCTGTTGGCGCTCGTGTTCCCGTACTTTCCAATTCCGTCCGCTATGTCGAGAATCTGTGGTCGTGGTCCTTTCGGTCGAATCGACAGCAGAATGTCTTTGCTCGGATGACGAAGCATGTCTGGCAGGTACTCGTTCCAGAATTGCATCTCCTCTGAGCGGTAGTGCGAACCTGTCTTCGGTGGTATGGCTGCACGAATGGGGCAGGCATTTAAGAAATTTTCAAACAATTAAGGTTTCCAGGACTTACTTAGGTTTAGATAGGTCTGATTCTGTGGGTCGTATTCGGGCCATTCGATTTCGTATTTGCTCCATTCCCTGGGTCCGTCCGTCAGATAAGGATAGCGCTTTGCTATATTTGGATTTCTGGAAACCATAGAATTTTTGGGGAATTTTTTCGCAGAAATTATTTGTGGTGACTTAAGGGACGGTAACAACGTCGTTATGTAATGTATGTAATTATGATGTGTGGTGGTGCAACTTGTGTCAATGTATGACGTGGGGAATTGTGGCGAATTGTGGTATAAGGCGTGGAATTACAGTGGATGGAATTACGGTGCGTGGAATCACGGCGCGTAGTAATCACAATGCGTGGAATTACGGTACGTGGTGGTACAAAGCGTGGAATTACAGCGATTAGAATTACAGTGCGTGGTGATACGACGCGTGGAATTACAGCGGATAGAATTACAGAGCGTGGTGGTACGACGCGTGGAATTCCAGCGCGTGGTAATACGACGCGTGGAATTGCAGCGGATAGAATTACAGCGCGTGGTGATACGACGCGTGGAATTACAGCGGATAGAATTACAGAGCGTGGTGGTACGACGCGTGGAATTCCAGCGCGTGGTAATACGACGCGTGGAATTGCAGCGGATAGAATTACAGCACGTGGTGATACGACGCGTGGAGTTACAAGCGGATGGAATTACAGCGCGTGGTAATACGACGCGTGAAATTCCAGCGGATAAAATTACAGCGCGTGGTGATACGACGCGTGGAATTACAGCGCGTGGTAATACGACGCGTGGAATTGCAGCGGATAGAATTACAGCGCGTGGTAATACGACGCGTGGAATTCCAGCGGATAGAATTACAGCGCGTGGTGATACGACGCGTGGAGTTACAAGCGGATGGAATTACAGCGCGTGGTAATATGACGCGTGGAATTACAGTGGATAGAATTACAGCGCGTGGTAATACGACGCGTGGAATTACAGTGTGTGGTGATACGACGCGTGGAAATACAGTGCGTGGAATTACAGCGTGTGGTGATACGACGCGTAGAATTACAGTGCATGGAATTCCAATTACTAATACACCACAAATAAATGTAATCTTCGACCATCTCCAAGTCTATACTATTTTATCATCCTCTTTACTAAAAAATAATGAGATCCCAAATGCTCTCCCGCAAAATAGCAGGAAACACAGATGAGCGTAATTTAAAGAATGAATGCAAAATTATATTGAAATTCGCAATGAATTTAATTCACATTGCCCCGTCGTAGCTTTTAATTGCTTTAATTAGCAGTATCGAGGTGTTGCAAATACAGATGCTGCATTTAATTCAGATACGGAATTGAAGAGAAAACACGGAGTCTACGTGAATGCGCACCTCGTAATTATTTGTTCAGGCTATGAGTTTTAATAAATCAAACATTTGTGCAACGTATGTCACGTGGTTGTATTGTACCGTTGAGAATTTATTCATTAGCATCGCTGTTCATTTCGAAAATCACGTTTCTACTAATTAAGATCTTTACAAATTGTGTGTCACAATAGTCATCATTTATTTAACTGCATTTAAATACATATTTTCCATTGACATGGCTGATTTTTATTGCCAAAGCTACGAGGCAAAATAATAACTCCGTGGAATTTTCAATAAATTTTTACAGAATTGGCAAACTCTACTGTTTCACGCGGCAGGTGTAAAATGATATCGTTCTTCGTGCTCAAATATCGAGAAACCAGTACGATATCGAAATTTTTATGCATTTTTTTTTTATTCTGTGTTAAAATTGTACTCTCAGCGGACAATCGCTCTCTAACTGTTCCCAAAAATAATTTCACTTCTCGGTTTCCAAATTCATCTGTCTCATTCATGCTAATGAGAGAATTAATTTACAATGTCCACGTCGTTACAATTTCCATTGGTAGCCTTACAAGAATGCAACAAGTATAAAATTATTATTAACACTAAAACTACCAAACCGGTTAAATGACAGTTCTACAAGATCTTTATTTAACAATTTGTTAAATTGATTCTTCTGATATCTCCATTGATCTTCACCAAGACAAAGAATTAATGTGTGTACCAATTTATGTTTTCTCGTTTATTTATTTTTTGACTTCATTTTCCATCTCAAATTACGTACACATTGCACCGGTAGGTTTAGTGTTAAAAGAGGTAATGTCACAAGGGTATAAGGGTTGATGAGGGTAAATACACCGCTTCCTCAGGGCGAACCGTATCGTTTACCAGATAATTAGTCTTTTCGACGTGCGTCCTTATTGACAGTAGGTTTCCGGTTACGAAGTTGCATAGCGACGCGCCACGCCCTCCGTTTATGCAGCCCGTTGCATCGCTGCAACCAGGGCTGATGTATTCTTACGAGGAGGACAGAGTGACACGCGCGATATCGATCAGCCGGTGTCACGAGGTGTGCGGTACACACGTCGGTGTCTCCTTTCGTCGCCACGTGCATTAAACAGCTTTGTTTCGCTTAATTGGATCGACCCAGTTCCTCCTGATCCAACGTGTCGCGATGCATATGCATTCGGCGAAAAAAACTACCAACCCCGAGCAGCTGTTGGAAGACAGCTTACCATCCTTATGTAAAAAGAATTCTTGTTAATCTCTCGCGTGTTATTCGTAGCACGGGTCTATGGGTGTCGAATCGATGAGATACGCAAAAAACGTGACTTACACACGATATCGGGTGAAGTTCGTTTTCGAAATTATCTTCTGACGCGTGAGCGAGCGTCCGATGAAATACGAGAGAAATTTCGTGCTCGCGAGGATAAAACAACCGAATCGATTGGCCCCCTTCCTCCTCGCCGTTGGAAATGAAATTTGCGAGCAATTTGTATATATAGGTAATCTGCTTGTACCGAGAAAATTAAAATGGCTGACGTATCGGACCGTTAATTCATTGATACCCCACGCTGCGAATAACGAGCGTCAAATTGCTGGCGGGCAACTCGCGAACGAAACTGGTCCGTACTTTATTTCGAACGGGCGTCGTTTCCTAGCGGTGGTTTATATTCAAAAACAAACGCCAAAAACCTCTCCCGAAGGGAGGCGAATTTTATTGCAAGTTTGAAGCAATTTTCGGCCGCTTTTTATATCGTCGGAAAAAGCGGAGGGTCGAAACGCACGAAATTGCACTTCCATTGATTCGAAGACTCTAATAAAATGCGAGTTTTTATATTTCCTCTTTTGTTGCTCTCGAATTTTCATTATACCGGATAAACACGGGCATAAAATATGAAAGTTTCGTTGATTTTTCGCGAAAATGCCAATCTCTTTCTGGAAATATAATTATGCGGCGCGTTAGAGTGTACCAAAGCAAACGACGAAGAAAAATATAAATATTCACGGGACGGGTAATTGAAAATCATGTTTGAAAACCCGTCGGTCTATTTTCCATCGGTCGGTTAATAATGAATTTTCAGAGGGGTGGAAAATTTCCCGTGTGGCACTTGTACAACCACGAAATTGTTTCTGCGCCCGTGTTTGCGCCGCTCCGATTATTTCGCCAAATTTCTATAAAGCCTCGTCAGCTTTGATCATAAAACGACGATAAAAAAATTCTGGCAAACGATAGGTCGTTGGCACGGATTTTCAAATTTATTATTTAACCCGCTGTAAGTACAGGATGGTTCGAAAAGGGCGATAAAAGAAGGGCTTTTTCTAATTCACAGGATTTTCAATCTTCCATAAATGGAATGCAATAATTAAAACGTAAGTTAAATGGGGCGAACCCCGTTCAATTGGTTCCGTTATTTACCGTGCACACGCGGCAACCCTGTAGCTTATTAAACGCGATTAAACGCTGTAGAACAGCGAGCAGAAAGGCATTCTGATTACACGCGAGTTATAGGAGGCGTTTGAAAAATAAAGCTGTTACGTCAAACGCATGGCCGTAACTTTATTTCCCCTTCCATTGTTATCGGAATACACGAAATATAGGCAAACAAAATGCGAGCGCGTTCGAATCGATAAAAGCGTTTATTTGATGCGTAAAAATATATTAGAAGATGCAGAAGCTTTTAGGTAAAGTGGGGTCCGTAATCCTTTTACTATCCAATCAATTTAACGCTGTCTAAACTTAAATCCTATAACAAATACCCATTCTTTTTAATTCTATCGGCTTTCACGATTTATGCGCATTGTGAAAGTTTTTTTTCACAGCTACTTTACACCTCCCTTAGAAGGCTCACCTTTTTAAATACTGCTCGTAAGTAGACTATGCGTACACCAGCAATTGAAAGAAAGGAAACAAAAGAGCCGTAGAAAAGGGAAGAAAAATAAAAACGTTCAGACCCGTTCGCACAAACGCACAAAAGGGTGCGCATGCAAAACGCAAACAAAACTCACCCCACGTACGCGAAACTGCACCACCAGTTCATCATAGCCTCGGAGAAGAGAGTTTCGCCGATGTTGTATCTGCGACGCAAGTCGTATTTACCGCCGTCAAGAGGCACCCCCAGCACATAGGGCAGCTCCTCGCCGTGAACCGTGCGCTGCCGTTGTTGCTGCAAGCATAACGAGGCCACTCGATGATATATACATACTTTCCCATTGAAACAAAGTTTCGGCTCGGGTCGCCGAAATTTCACCGACCAGAAGAACGGTCAAGAGTGCTCCTCCGCAACCACGGCCATTGTTATTAACTTCCTCCACTCTGCGATCGTAACCCGTTGCCCTATTCTCAACAATCGATACATCGATTTCTCTTTTGCTATTTGCAAGGATTAATTTTTATGGACGTGGTCAGGTTGAACGTTGTGATATTGATTTATTATTGGTTCTGATGACTAGTTTTCAGATTTTGTTGTTGGAGAAAATTTTGGGGATATATGCAAGGGTTAGAAGGTTATGTGGATGCATGGTCAGCTTGGATACTGTGAGCTGTGGGATTTATTACTGGATCTGATGATTGCTTGTGAGATACTATTAGAGCTAAACTATGTGGATGTATGTAAGGATTAGGAGGTTATGTGGACAGATGGTCAGCTTGGATATTGTGAACTGTGAGATTTATTGTTGGAGCTGATGACTACTTGTGAAATACTATTGGAGTTAAACTATGTGGATCTATGCAAGGATTAGGAGGTTATGTGGACACATGGTCAGCTTGGATACTGTGAACTGTGGGATTTATTGTTGAAGCTGATGACAACTTGTGAGATTTTGCTGTTGGCTCAAGCTATGTGGACATACACAAGGATTAGAAGGTTATGTGGACACATAGTCAGCTTGAAAATTGAGAAATGAATTTGTTATTGGATCTAATGACTACTTGTGAGATTCTGCTGTTGGACCACACTATGTGAACATACACAAGGATTAGAAGATTATGTGAACACATAGTCAGTTTGAACATTGAGAAATAAATTTATTTGTGGATCTGATGACTACTTGTAAGATTTTGCTGTTGGACCAAACTATGTGGATATACACAAGGATTAGAAGATTATATGAACACATAGTCAGTTTGAACATTGAGAAATAAATTTATTTGTGGATCTGATGACTACTTGTAAGATTTTGCTGTTGGACCAAACTATGTGAACATACACAAGGATTAGAAGGTTATGTGGACACATAGTCAGCTTGAACATTGAGAAACGAATTTATTATTGGATCTAATGACTACTTGTGAGATTTTGCTGTTGGGCCACACTATGTGGATATACACAAGGATTAGAAGGTTATGTGGACACATAGTCAGCTTGAACATTGAGAAATGAATTTATGGGACCACATGTGAGATGACTACTTGTGTGTTTGTGCTGTTGGAGCTAACCTATGTGGATCTACGTGAAAGTTATGAATGACAACTAGAAAAAGGGAAAAGTTCAGCGTGGTATGTCTTAATCGTCGAAACAAATCTCTCAATTTGTCGGCGATCGTCGTTTCCGGGCAGCGACTATGGCGGCGATAGGGGTTAAACGATCCAGCGTCCCATACCGTTGGAACGTCTACAGCCCCGTCGTTCGTAAATTTCATATCTAACAGCGGTCCAACCCCTCTGAGCCCGAGTTGAAAACCAGAAACGCTGTTACATTCGGTTTAACGACACCGCCAGTCAGTGTAGCCGCGGCCAGCGTAACAGGCCGGCACGCAGCGGCGATAAAAATAGTTGGCTTGGCTCCAAATGGGTTCGTAGCCGGGATTTTTCTCTCGCGCGAGCACCAACACAATGAATAGCCAGTAGGTCATGCTCCCTGCTACGACGGCTAAGGAATCTGCCGCTGAGAAAATGAATAAAATGCAAAGTACAGCGTCTAATCGTACGTGCTCCAGTTTCCACGGAGGAAGAGCTCGATTTATGCGCCACCTTAATATTTCTACCCAGCTTCCGGATCCTTGACCCGGATGAAATCGTCGGGTCACCAAGGAGACTGCACTGCGTGCCACGATACTGTATTATCCTGGATTTCTTCGGTACCGCGGATTTAATGCCGGAAGGGCCACTGTTGCGTAAGAGACTCAGGTAAGGGTTAGGTCTGCAGTCGAATCATGATCTTCCAACGTTTTTCTCCTTCCCTTCTGCTACATTCACCCTCTACATTCACGTTTATATGATTTTCATAAACTGAATGTAAGTTAACATATGCTTGTGGTCAGACAGCCTACTAAGAACATCTTTCAATTTCATCCCTTAACCTGTTGTTATCAAAAACTCCTCTCGATACTATAAATAATTTCGCTGAATTTTCAGCACCAGTCCTGACGACCAAAATTGTAAAATTTATTTATTGAATGTTATATATAAAAACTAGTAAACTATTCAAACTTCAATCAGAACGATTTAATATTTTATGGACGTGAATAAATCATTTGGTCGAGGAATATAAAGGTATTAAAGGTTAAATTGCAAGGTTGGTAGAAATAGAAGTAAAAGGGCGAAGGTGAAGTTCATTTGTTACGATTGTCCCGGAAAGAGCCAGCAGCCTCGCAGTGCATTTTTATGCAAATTGATGTACGGTGAAGATACGTGTATGTGGAAACGTACTTACGCCGGAGTAGTCCTGCATCGCTTTCGGATGCGAGAAAACGTACATGTAACTCTTCGGGTTCGCCCGTGAATGTAAATTCGCGGTCATTATTAATGGCGCCACGGTCCCGCTATCGGAAATCGCCTCCAGTACGAGATCCCGATTCTTCAAGGCGTACTCGTTCGTGAAACCGTCCGAGAAATCGCCGTATTGTTCCAGAATCTTTGACAGAATTAATTCGGCCTCCAGCTCGTGCGTTGCCTACCGTGAAAGAAATATGGCATCGCTTTATTATCCGAACGCTACGTGAATCCCGGTGAATTCGATATCGATGTACGCACGAATGCTTCCCCTTCAAACTACCATTTCCTTTAACACTTCTCCACGATAATCTTTACCTTTTCAATATATTTCACTCTGTAAAGGGCGATAAGTGAATCAGAGGAATGATAAATTTAATATCTTTAATAAATTGAATACGATTAATGTTTACTGATGTAATCAATGCTGTGTTTATACCGAATACTATTTTATTGACAAAGGCTATATTCAGTTAATTCAATAAACATGGACTAATATTCCCTAGTCGATATTTCACATAAATCAATACATTAATCTGTTCCTCTACACTGGTAAAACACATGAATATTTTCGTTTCAGTACAAATAGAACAAACCAACTGTCCCCTAAAATAGAATTAATGTAAACCCGCAAATTTAACCAGTTAAATTTATAACTTAAGGTAGAAATAGAAAAAGTTAAACACTGAGGAGAAAATGTAGAGCGTGATGGTATAAAGCGTGGAATAACAGCGGATGGAATTATGGTGCGTGGAATTACGGCACGTAGTAATCACAATGCGTGGAATTACAGCGCATGGTGGTACAAAGCGTGGAATTACAGCGGATGGAATCGCAGCGCGTGGTGATACGACGCGTGGAATTACAGCGGATGGAATTACAGCGCGTGGTATCAATGCTGTGTTTATACCGAATACTATTTTATTGACAAAGGCTATATTCAGTTAATTCAATAAACATGGACTAATATTCCCTAGTCGATATTTCACATAAATCAATACATTAATCTGTTCCTCTACACTGGTAAAACACATGAATATTTTCGTTTCAGTACAAATAGAACAAACCAACTGTCCCCTAAAATAGAATTAATGTAAACCCGCAAATTTAACCAGTTAAATTTATAACTTAAGGTAGAAATAGAAAAAGTTAAACACTGAGGAGAAAATGTAGAGCGTGATGGTATAAAGCGTGGAATAACAGCGGATGGAATTATGGTGCGTGGAATTACGGCACGTAGTAATCACAATGCGTGGAATTACAGCGCATGGTGGTACAAAGCGTGGAATTACAGCGGGTGGAATCACAGCGCGTGGTGATACGACGCGTGGAGTTACAACGGATGGAGTTACAGCGCATGGTAATACAACGCATGGAGTTACAGCGGATAGAGTTACAGCGCGTGGTAATACGACGCGTGGAATTGCAGCGGATAGAATTACAGCGCGTAGTGATACGATGCGTGGAATTAGAGCGGATAGAATTACAGCGCGTGGTGATACGACGCGTGGAATTACAATGGGTGGAATTATAAAACGTGGTAATACAACGCAAGCAATTATAAAGCGTAGAATTTCAGCATCTACTACACTACATACAAACGCAATCTTTGACCATCTCCTTGTCTATACTATTCTATCACCCTCTTTACTAAATGAGACCCCAAATGCTCCTCTAAAAAATAACTCGCATCAGAAAGCAAAGAGTATTTGCAATACCTTCGCATGTTCCCTCAAAACATCGTCCCTCTGTCCATCCAGCATGCCGTGCAGCAAAGCCACCGGTGGCAGAATATGAAACTTCTCCGATTCGGTGACGCCGTACATCAAATCGAATCTGATGCGAGAAAAAAATAATTCAACGTCAATGATACCCGGCTCGTTCTTGGGAAACATACCTGCCAAACAGCTGAGGATTTTTCATTAAATTCAGAGGCTTGTCCGGAATGACCGCGTTATCGATCAGCGGCGCGAACGCTGGCACATAGTTCGGCTTGTGGATCTTCACGTTCAGTAGTGTGTCCACATCCTGTCCACGCAAACAAAGCGCCAAATCGCTGTCGGTCGTGGTGGGACAGTTTAGAGCGTGGGCAACCTGAAAAATGATTCCAGCCATTTCTCACTAGAGCGGTGGACGTACTCCACACGTACGAGAACCGGTGACGAGAAACAATATTTCTTCCGGTTGGGGCTTGAATCGCGTGACGTTTCCTCTCTGCGAGCTTTTGGTCGATGCTGGACCGGTTTGGGATTTTTTTTGTATATTCGAAGGTAATTAGATTGTTGTTTGATGGGGTGGAATTTGGGGGAGAATATTCGGCGATGGAGAATTCGGGGTGGGTCCAATTTGGAGTGGGTGCAAGTTTGGATAACAGAATTTGGGGTGGGTGCAATTCGGGATGGGTCTAATTCGGTATAGACCCAATTCGGGGTAATAGAATTTGGGGTGAGTCGAACTCGGTATAATAGAATTCGGGATGGGTCCAACTCGGTGCGATAGAATTCGGGGTGAGTCCAACTCCACGCGATAGAATTCGGGGTGAGTCCAACTCGGTACGATGGAATTTGGATTTATCCTAATTCGGCGCGATAGAATTCGGGGTGGGTCCGACTCGGCATAATAGAATTCGGTGTGGGTCCACCTCCATACTATAGAATTCGGAACATGTCGAATTCGGAGTAACAGAACTTAGGGTGGGTCCAACTTAGCATAATAAAATTTCTGCTGGGTCCAACTCCCAACCCCCACTTCAACCCCCAATAACTGAACTACTAAACCTCCAATAAACTACTAAACATAAATAAAATATACCTGCTTCGTGATCTGCAAAGGCGCCTTCCCAATAGCGTCCGCGCTAAGGGCAGACCCAGACATCAGTATGGCTCGCTTAAAAAGACCTACACAAAGGACACGAAGAAACGATTAATAAACCGATGCTGGAGCGGCCTTCTAGGCAGGTAAAATATTAAGGACGGTTATTTTTCATTGGCCAATATAATTATTGACCGGACACCGAGCATTGTGCCGGCCGCCAGACGAGAAAAGTTCCCTTTGGTACGTGGCACAGGTGAAAAATGACCGTCGTTTCCCCCTTCTTTCTATCTTTCCTTCACAATGGTTATTCTTTCCTTTATCACGGTCTCCGAGGGAAACGTATGAATCCTTCAATTATGTGTACGTCATCCCTGAGATTCAGTAACGCCGAGGTTTTCGTGTTATCCGAATCCGTCTGACCAATGCTTGACTTATACTACTTATTCCTTGTATTACTTCGTCAATTCTCGTTGGAAAGATTTTCCGATTATCACTACGTTCTGAGATCACTGTTTTTGAGATCTTGGTAATCACTGAGATCACTGAGTCGCGCAAGTATTTTTGGGAAAATGGCGGATTCCACTGCGAACATCGTTTTAGAATTCGGGGTGAGCCCAACTCGGCGTGATAGAATTCGGGGTGAATCCAACTCGGTGCGATAGAATTCGGGGTGAGTCCAACTCAGTATAATAGAATTTGGGGTGAGTCCAACTCGGTACGATGGAATTTGGATTTATCCTAATTCGGCGCGATAGAATTCGGGGTGGGTCCGACTCGGCATAATAGAATTCGGTGTGGGTCCACCTCCATACTATAGAATTCGGAACATGTCGAATTCGGAGTAACAGAACTTAGGGTGGGTCCAACTTAGCATAATAAAATTTCTGCTGGGTCCAACTCCCAACCCCCACTTCAACCCCCAATAACTGAACTACTAAACCTCCAATAAACTACTAAACATAAATAAAATATACCTGCTTCGTGATCTGCAAAGGCGCCTTCCCAATAGCGTCCGCGCTAAGGGCAGACCCAGACATCAGTATGGCTCGCTTAAAAAGACCTACACAAAGGACACGAAGAAACGATTAATAAACCGATGCTGGAGCGGCCTTCTAGGCAGGTAAAATATTAAGGACGGTTATTTTTCATTGGCCAATATAATTATTGACCGGACACCGAGCATTGTGCCGGCCGCCAGACGAGAAAAGTTCCCTTTGGTACGTGGCACAGGTGAAAAATGACCGTCGTTTCCCCCTTCTTTCTATCTTTCCTTCACAATGGTTATTCTTTCCTTTATCACGGTCTCCGAGGGAAACGTATGAATCCTTCAATTATGTGTACGTCATCCCTGAGATTCAGTAACGCCGAGGTTTTCGTGTTATCCGAATCCGTCTGACCAATGCTTGACTTATACTACTTATTCCTTGTATTACTTCGTCAATTCTCGTTGGAAAGATTTTCCGATTATCACTACGTTCTGAGATCACTGTTTTTGAGATCTTGGTAATCACTGAGATCACTGAGTCGCGCAAGTATTTTTGGGAAAATGGCGGATTCCACTGCGAACATCGTTTTATTCAGCGGCAATAACCGTTACCTTTCTTATTAGCCACAGGGCTGATAAGCAGCAGGTTGGCAAAAATGGCCCCCGTGCCGTGTCCGACCAATGTAATACTGTTCGGATCACCCCCAAAATTTGCAATGTTCTCTCGTAACCAAAGAAGCGCCGCTATTTGATCGAGAAGTCCAAAATTGCTGACGGTGGAGTCCCCCGTGCCCGGTCTCAAGAAGCCTGTAACAAAATGGTGCAACTTTATCGTGGCAATCACTAAACGAAGACCATTAACTCGCCCATTGCTATTCATTATACTCATTGAAACGCGGGAAACCTTGTTACGTTTTACGAGCTGATCTCGTTGCACCAAAAGTCGGGGTGAAAAACGTAAACCAACACCCGTGCAGTATTTTTTTTTATTCCCACGATCCTTGTATCCCGGTCATATTTCTTCTCCGTTGTTTTGCGAAGGACTGAAGTTATCCGCTCTCGGATTGCCGGCTAGCAAGCTGCAAGCGAGGGCGAAGTTAACTAAGCGCCTTCCCAGCACTTTAACCTAATTTATGATTATGGTTTCGCGGCCGTTTCTTCTTTCTTTCCCTTCCCCTTTTTTTCTTCTTTCGGCGAGCAGTTCCTCTTAAAGCACCCCACTTGTCGGATGTAGCGGCGCAGCTCGCGCACCGACGTCCGTCCATTTGCATCGCGCGCGGAGGCCGCGTTATCATTTCAGGGGAAAAGATAGGCGGAAGCTCGTCGTTACGAGTACCCGCTGAAACGGTGCTACAAAAGCGCCGAGGTGCGGGGGAAAAGGGTGGTGGGAAAAAATAGAGCAGGCCAGGGGAGAATGGCGGGGATCGATGGAACTTTCGGGGGCAAAAAGGCCGCCTTTGTCTCGACCGCGAGCCTTTTTTTTACTCTACTCGCCTTGCGAAAAAGAACTTTTCTTTTCCGTGTAAGTCCGAAATTTTACGGTCAACGCTGACTTCTTGCCACCGGACTAATGAATGACGCTTTTTACCCTCTGTAATAAATGCCCACGTATGTTTCGACTCCACTAGAAAAATTCGGATGAATTTTACTCCCTTCGAATTGTCATGGTCATCACCTCTCTTTTAATACATTTATTGAGATCTTTTAATGTTCAATAAAAAAATAATTATTTAAGATGAATTATTAAGGAGAGACTCACTTGTGAATTTTTTCAAAATTCATAAAAAATGAAAATGACATATCAGATTAATATAACATTGAAAGCAATGAAATTGTTTTGGAGATCTTTTAACAATGTTCAATAAAAAAAAAATTATTTAAGATGCATTATCAAGGAGAGACTCACTTGTGAAATTTTTCAAAATTCATAAAAAATGAAAATAATGATCAGATTATTGTAACATTGAAATCAATGAAATTGCTTTCGAGATCTTTTAACAATGTGCAATAAAAAAAAAATTATTTAAGATGTATTATTAAGGAGAGACTCACTTGTAAATTTTTTTAAAAATCACAAAAAATGAAAATGACATATCAGACTATTATAACATTAAAACCAATAAAATAGAACTTCTAATTTATTTTTTATTTTATATTTTAACACAATTGTACATTTGACCTTATCAATTGCACCCTGAACACACGACAGTAATCCCGATCCGAAGAACAAGTTCATGAATTTTATGAACTCTTTGGTGGTGACCGAAGTGATAAGAATTTGTCGAAGGGTTTTTGGAGTCGAGCTGTAAAAACGAAGAGCCCTGGACGAGTTATTTATACGAGGACTGTAAAAGATGTTGAAACGACAGTGGCTCGTCCCAGTGCACGATGACGGATCGATAAGCAGTTGCAAGGGACGAGTAAAAAGAAGGTAGTCGAAGATCAAAAACCGATGGCGCAGCGAAGCGAGAACGTTAATGAAGCAGAATTCCTGATTTCATGCAACGCTGCTGCCGGTGACGTTCGGCAAGATTTCATAAATTCGTATCGAAACGTCAGCTCGAGCCTTGTTCCATCGTTTCCCGTTGAAATTTCAGATCCGGAACGTTTATAATCGCTTTGATACTCCACTGTTTCCACGGTTTCATAGTACTTTGGTATCTTTCGAAAGCTCTACGTTTATTATTCTTGGAAGGATTTGTTAACATCGATGGAATTTTATGGTTTTAATAACTTAGTAGTTTGGAGGAAAATTTTACTTGTAAAAAAGTACCAAAAAAATTGTTAATATGGATAGAATTTTTTAGTTATGATAAGATAAATTTTGAAGGAAGTGTTACTTAAAAAAAATATTAACATAGACAGGACTTAACAAGATGCACAAAATGTTATAATAACATGCACAGAAGTTTGTAGTTATAAGGAATTAACTTTGAATGAATTGTAAGAAGATATTGCTCATTTATCATAAACAAGAATTAATTATGAAGACGAATACATAAAATATGCATACGAATTATTTCATAATCCGAAAGCAGAGGATTTAGAAGCAACAAACGAAAAGAGCGTGTCTGACCACACGTCTGAATCTACTTACCGAGAATACCCAAGCGGAAGTTGATAGTGACGAAGACCACGTTACCATAAGCTACCAATATAGTACCGTCATAGGGGTTGCCACTGTTCCATTCAAAGCTCTCCCCATGAATAAATACCATCACAGGGTACTTTCGCAGAGTTTTCTGACCTAAAAGGAAAAGAGCTTCGGATAAAAACTGGTATCCCTTCTTTTTATTTCGATGTCGCAATTATCCCAGTTTTTTAATCCTCTTTCGCGCAGCGTATTAAAATGCACTTTGTTGCTCTGTTTATAACGCCAGACATTCTGCGCGGATTAATTCAATGTCTCGCAGAGCAGATTTGAAAATTCGAACGCGGAGCGTTTGATAATTAAAACGGCATCAAACGAATGCAGAATGCTTTACTAATTATAATTGATAGCGTTCCGCGAAGTCGTACAAAATTGTGCGGGCGATGAATAAACGGTGGAAGAAATTTTTCCTCGTTAGCCGCAGATGAAATGCTGATTGGATAATTAAACCCGTGCCGCAGTAAATTTACTTGCTACGGAATTGTATTAAACCGTTGATTTCTATATAATGCAGTTTCATTGAAATACTCAAATGTTCCTTTATTGTCGCGCGAATGTGACCGATTAAATAACGAGTTAAATATTTGGGATGCAGTTTTGCTACTTTTTGATTTACATCCAGCTAACAACTATCAGTGAACTTTGCATATGGAACTACAGTCAGTCGCGAAATTTATCACCCTCTACTTTACCAACTATTCACTGCGAGTTTTCAGTATTAGGCCATCTATAAATTCTCCCCTTTTTCTGACGATCCACAAATTAGACTACCCCCTCCATCCCGAAAATTTATTCGGACGTGTTTTATGTGAATGTACACCTATCAAATCCTTTAAACTTTTGTCGAGCGAAATAAGATTTGAATTTTCAAATAGTAAATTCGAAAGAAGGTATTAAGGGGTGAGATCTAATTGTACACCCCTATCCAGGATTTCGTTTGAGTTGGAACCCTTTAAAGAGCTCGAAATCAAGGGTATTTAAGTAATTTCGAGCGGAGCAGCTAACTGGAACTCATCACCTAGAATCCCTTATTTTTCTTTGGCGAAGGGAGGAGAATTGATGGGGCGATTTCGAGAATACGCCGTTATCTCAGCCCCTATAAACCGACTGCTTCCAACCCTTTCCAGCAATTAATTTCGTTGAATATCTTACCGGTGGATACGCTAATACGTTCGTAGTAATGAACAAATACTACGAGCAAACAGGAAAGGAATAAAGGGCGTAACAAAGGGGATGATCAGCCTCGTTGACGACGTGTTAACGGCTTTATGGACTGCCAGGGAAATATTGCACCCTTTAACAGGTCAAATTGAATCATTTGCCGGGACGAGGTGGTACAGCTCGTTTATGAGCTCCTTCCTCGTAACTGTTCGCCCTCATTACGCGAAATGGCCTTTGTCATTCTATGAATTCAATATACCGTTGCCGAAAGGGGCCACCCCTTTTTTACCAGCGAAAATTTACGACGCAAAGAATTTCACCGCGAGATCATGAATTTTGTAGTTGGTATTTGCATGGGATTAAGTAAATGATGGCAACGTTTGCATATTCGAGGACAAGCGCACCTCCATTCCGAAATTGAATAAATTTTCATGGATGCATTCTTCGTACCCTATTAGTAATACCTTAATACTTCACTCTTTTAAGTTACTTGCAAATTTTTACACTGTTGCAAATTTTTATACTGTTGCAAATTTTTAAACTGTTGCAAATTTTTAGACTGTTGCAAATTTTTAAACTGTTGCAAATTTATAAACTGTTGTAAATTTTTAGACTGTTGCAAATTTTTATACTGTTGCAAATTTTTGGACTGTTGCAAATTTATAAACTGTTGCAAATTTTTAGACTGTTGCAAATTTTTAGACTGTTGCAAATTTTTAGACTGTTGCACATTTTTAGACTGTAGCAAATTTTTAAACTGTTGCAAATTTTTAAACTGTTGCAAATTTGTAGACTGTTGCAAATTTATAAACTGTTGCAAATTTTTATACTGTTGCAAATTTTTGAACTGTTGCAAATTTTTAAACTGTTGCAAATTTTTAAACTGTTGCAAATTTTTAGACTGTTGCAAATTTTTATACTGTTGCAAATTTTTGGACTGTTGCAAATTTATAAACTGTTGCAAATTTTTAGACTGTTGCAAATTTTTAAACTGTTGCAAATTTTTAGACTGTTGCACATTTTTAAACTGTTGCAAATTTTTACATCTATATTAAAATTAAAAATTTTTAAATCAATTTTAAAATTAAAAAATTAAAAATTAATCAGCATTTTCATCATGCAAAATTTTTTTAATTTTGTTTACAATTTTAATTTTAAATTAAGTTGGTTTTCAGTTTGTTAAAGTTTACGAATATATTTTTTGACATAATGGATCCCATAAGGGTTGATATTCTGATGTACAATGTTGATTTCTGAGACATTTACCGCTTCGATCGCCGGCCACTCGGGGCGCACTTTCATTGCAACCATTTCGCGACGGTAAAAACGCAATGAGAAATATAGGTCGATGCAATCATACGGAAGGTACTCGGCCAATAATAAATGCACCATGTAGCCGCTTCCACAAGATCGTATCGACCTATTTTCTGTCGTTTTCCTCTGAAATATCCCGGCTTAAAAAGAGGTCAGTATCTCCCTCTAAATTAATTAATCCCCCTCTTAATTCCTGCTAAATCAACCTGTTAAATGTCCCTTTAATCGGTAAAAAAAGTCGGTGCAAAAACGTAAGCACATTTCCATGAAAATTAAAAGTCGGATCGATGTCCTCGCGAAATTGACGTATGGAATCATACCTGGGGATATTTTCATCTTGGAAGCGCGGTGCTGCATCCAGTAGATCGAAGCGCATCCGCTATAAATCAATTGACGCGAATCTATATCCTAATAAAAGAACCAACATGGCCGGACCGTGTTCCTGTAAAAAGATATCACCTGCCACACTTTGCTGCGCCTCGGAACGATATCCAGCAAGCCGGACGCTGTGTACCGAACATATTTTACGTTTAAATCTCGTTTCCACCGGTTCCCTTGATGCTCTATAACGTTACAACGTTTCAGCTTTCAGAGTCAACGCATACGAGCTTTCAGTGTGTAACTCGATCAGTGGAATGAATGTTTGCAGAAATTCAATCTTTTTTCACCTTTATCTGAACGATCGATTACACTTCGCTTTTGTATCATTATATTCGATTTACGAGGGCATATTAATTTTATCTACACGTGTTGAATGCCTCTTTTCAAGTTTATTTCTCAAGGAAATCTCTGAAGGTTCGGAATCAAAATTTTTTATGTACCAATATGTCTACCTTCCTGTTTTAATAATACCTCAAAGTTTTATCGAAATCTATACCGTCAAGATAAACACTAAACCTACCAGCATATAATACGTACATAATTTGAAACTAAAAATGAAGTTAAAAAATAAGTAAACAAACGATAAAACATAAATCAGTACACACATTTATTCTTCATCTTCATGAAAATCAATTTTAAATGCAAGAAATGTACTTCAACAAAATGTGTAGCTTATAATAAGAAACTTATGCGGCGGTCATTTAACTAGCGGTCATTTAACTGGCAGTCATTTAACTAGCGGTCATGGTAGTTTTAGTGTTAAAGAAATTTCTCGCAAAAAAATTGCGAAAACAAATTTTCGAATATACCAAAGTTTGCAAGCAGCAAAGTCGAACTCAAAATGCAAGAACACATCTAGAATTCCGCAAATATTGACCAGAGCAAACTGCCCGCACGGCGAGGCAATAACGGCGAGTCCCAAGTGTTGCGCTGGCGAAAACAATAACTCTAAATCGACGACAGGCGGTCGAAGCAAAAGGTGCGTGGGTCGTAAAATTAAAAGTTCCATTCGGGCAATCGTAACAACAGCGGCCATTCCGCTCGGTATCGTTTCGTGCAACTTACGATCCCTCAGGCCAGCGGAATAATTCACGAGCGGAGTCGACAGAGTCGCCATGGTGTTCCATGCGAAACAAATCAACGTTCAATTTACGAGTGAACCGCATCCTTACGGGGTTGCGGTTTTTACCGGTCGGATTTTAATGTTTCATTTTACTGGCGACGTCGAATACATATTTATAACCCGCGTACAATTTCAGCGACTTTGGAAGTTTAATTAGCGGCCTGTAATTGCGGCCCGTTTCGAAACATGCGGATTCGAGGTCGACGACATCGGCGACAACGTTGCCATCCTGTCTCGACGGAAACAATAAGGTCGTTGCACGCGAGTCGACCACCCGCGGCGGGGGAGGGTGGAGAACGCGCCTTGATCCGCCACCTCGTGGTGGAGCTACGAAACTTCCCTAGACGCGGGTTACACCGTTCTCGAACAGATGTCGGCACGCATCGTGTTTCCGCGAATTTTAAGACACCTTATTGATGCTCTCAAATTGATTTCACGCGAGAATAATGCGACGATCGCTCCTATTGGCAAGATTGCTCTTTCCATGCTCGGTATTTTTATGCATGCCACAGGAAATCAATCTCGCGAGAACCTCTGAGATTCGAACTACATAACCGTATGGTTTAGTGCTTGCAAGGGTGATTAGACCTCTGCAACGATATGGGGTACTGAAATGATTATGACAGTTGGAAAAAAAAGTTGAGAAGGCTCGCAGCAATGAAAGGGGCGGTAACGCAGACTGGAGGGTTGTTTTCGACGCGTTACACCGCTGAAACCAAAGTTCATTTGGCTCGCGGTAAGGGTCGTAATGCGAGTTGGAATTCTACGAGCAAACATTTCTTCGAGCATGAAACCACTTTTTCACTCGAGCAGCCCCGACGAGCGGCTCCAAAGGGGTCGAGGGTTAAACGATAATGCGAAAGCCGTTATACATGCCATTTCGTGCCCCATTCTGGTCCTGCAATCCATACAGTATCCCGGCAACTTCTGTCCGAGTAATGTTTAGATATCCTGGCACCTTTTACTGGGGGCTGATGATATTGCCAATGAGAAGCACGATAATTGCCAGCCCGGAAAATTGTATAACACCGGGGCTCGTTTTTGCGGATCCCTTGTATCAGGGTGCATACTTCATTTACATGACAAACACGGGATTTGGACAGCTCGGTATCTTATT